GTCTGAAGGCTCACCAGTCCATCGCAGCCTCGATGCCCTGGTTCCCTGTGAGGGCCAGAGCCTTCTCCCTGCGGGCAGAAACACCGTGAATAGCGCCTACGGACCATGGTGACCGTCAGGACGGGGCTAGGCTGGGGTAAAGGTCCAGACAGGTCCGCGGTCCCCCAGCCTGGCGGGCCGGGGTTGGGTGCTCCCTTACGCGCGTCCCCTGGGGAAGCCCATCTCGATGAGACTCTCCAGAGCCGTCAGCTCCGCCATGCCGCCGCCGCCGCCGCTTCCGCGGGGACCTGATGTGGCAAGAAGGAGGRTGGGAAAGGTCAACGCAAGGGAACCCTGCGCCCGATACCACCCATCGGGCGCTCGTTCACTCACCCGGCTCGGGACCCACCGGGGACACCGACAAGAAGAAAGGCGAAGGGAAGCGGAAGTGCCCGAATCTGTTTGGGTCACGTGGGGCTGGCGTGGACGGATGCCGSGGAGTGCCAGAAAACTCGCTGGCCCGCCTCCAGAATTTTGCGTGGGCGGAAGGAGACCTACCAAACCCCAGTGCTCCCGCACAGTGCCGAAGAAGCGCCCTGAGGCTTGGAAACCCAAGAGCCGAATGAGGCCAGTTCCCGGAGTTTTACACTGCTTCACCTTCCTTAAAAATTAAAATTGTGGCCCTTAAGTGCAATCGTTTGGAAAGTTGTTTGTCAGTGTTTCTCAGGAGCCATAGAAATGGTCATGCTCTTTGATCCACTCATCTTCGGGGAATTTCGCCATCCTGTGCCCGATTGCCAAAGGAATCTTTGCAATACACAGTATCTGAACCTGGGTCATCACCATGTCACCCCGGTCATCTAGTACAAGCCCAAAGGCTGACTTTCTCTTGCCCCAATGTTTTAGTTTTAAGAGCCCCATCTATAAAATGGACATAATGATGACAGCTATGTAGGTGCCTCACAAGACGGTATGGCATAAATTATGGTAGTTACTGCATAGTTTCATTTCCTTCAAATTGAGGATAACCTGTGCATGTTGTGAAACAGGCCCTACACCTCATTTTGGCCTTTGCACCTACCAGCTCCTCTGCCTGAGATGTTTGGCCTCTTCTCTCCTCTTAGTTAACTTCTAGTTGTTTTTCAAGACTCCGGCCTGCAAGTTCAAGGCGAGCCTCCGCAATTTTGTGAGACACCCTCCCCACCCCCAAGAAACTGAGTGAGACCCTGTCTCAAAAAAAAAAAAAAAAAAAAATTAAAAAGACTGGGGGATTGGGGCTGGGGATGTGGCTCAAGCGGTAGCGCGCTCGCCTGGCATGCGTGCGGCCAGGGTTGGATCCTCAGCACCACATACAAACAAAGATGTTGTGTCTGCAGGAAACTAAAAAATAAATATTAAAAAAACCTCTCCCTCTCTTAAAAAAAAAAAAAAAAAAAAGACTGGGGGATTGAGCTCTGTGGTAAAGCTCCTCTGGACTAAATCTCTAGTACCCAAAAATAAAATTTACAAAATATGTTTATTTAGGAGGTAGAATAATAATTATAATAATAATAAGTTACTCATATTGACTGACAGGGTTGTAGCTCAGTGGTAGAGCACTTGCCTAGCGTGTGTGAGGCACTGGGTTCAATTCTCAGAACCACATATAAATAAAAAATAAAGGTCCATCAAAAAAAAAAGTTACTCATATGGAAAATATATGTATGTAACAGGGTTCACTTGATGCTTTGACTATCTCTTGTGGCTTTGAAACTTAGATTTTTTTTTTTCTTTTTCCCAATCTTCTTTTCCCTAACCATCTCCTTCCTGACCTCCTCTCTGCTCTTTTTTCCCCTGATCTTCCCTGATATTCTTTTCCTTCAACTTTTCCTCCCTGATCTTCTTGATCTTCTTTTCCCTAACCTTCCCCTTCCTGACCTCTTCCCTGATCTTCTTTTCCCTGATCTTCTCCTCCCTGATCTCATTTTCTCTGAATCACCTCTATAAAAGCTCCCTCTCAGGCTGGGGCTGGGGCTGGGTGGTAAAGCGCTCACCTAGCACATGCGAGGCCCTGGGTATTGTGTTCTACTACAACTAAAAAATAAATATTAAAAAAAAAAAAAAAAAGAAAGAAAAGCCTCCTGTTCCTGCAAATGAGCAGAATCACAGCCTTTGGGACAGGAGTCCCCTGTGTTCCTCCTTTGMTAGCAAAGCAATAAAGCTTTTTCCTTGTTCTCAAGACCTTGTCTTCATTATTGTATTGGTTTCAAGGACAAGGACCGAGCTTTCAGTTACATGTACTTGAGGCTTAGTTGATTAACTCATATTTAATCATCATAACGGTCCCTATTCTGTATTATTATTAGTCATAGGAAACAGGCACAGAAAGATGAGATGATTCATCTAAGATCATAAAGGCAGTAGAAAGTAGCAGAGCTAGAATTCTACCATGCATTGTGTTTCACTAAACCTGTATGCTTTGTTGCCCCTCTCCATGGTAAAATGAAGAGCTTTTGAGTTGGGCAATTTAAGCAGGAATCCTATCTGAACTCCTTAGTTGTAATTTCAWACCCTTTAGGACTTCAAATCTCTCATCTTTGAAAAGGTGATACTATCTCTTGGAATGTTCGTGGTAAGGATTAAGTGAGAATGCATGAAAAGCATGTCTTTACTAATAATAGAGTGGGTCTCCTCATTCATAAGTGAATGATTGCTGAGGAAATAGTCATTAAATAAAAAGTCACAAGGTAATCACTACAATGTAATGCTACATGTGTTCTAGATAACAATCTAAATTTATTCTAGTGGKGGCTGGGGATGTGGCTCAAGTGGTAGYGCGCTGGCCTGGCATGTGTGCGGCCCAGGTGCGATCCTCARCATCACATACAAACAAAGCTGTTGTGTCCGCCGAAAACTAAAAATAAATATTAAAAAATTCTCTCTCAAAAAAAAATTAAATTTATTCTAATGGTCCAATCATTTTAAAAATAATCAAATTTTAGAGTATTGCCTATTTGAATTACTTCCAGAGGTGAATGCCTTCCCCTGGGTACTTAAGTAAACAGGTGAGGATACACAAACAAGGATGTCCTTAAAACCACACTGAAGAAAATTTAAATGTTCCAACAAAGAGTGATGGCTAAAGTTCTTTAAAGTACATTCTTTTGTAGGAAATCATGAGGCCTTTAACCTATAAGGAGGTTATGATTTGCCAATGTTCAGCATTGTCTATGACTGAATAATGAGTGAAAAACAAAATATTTGTTCTTTGTAAAGAACTGCTCTGGGGCTGGGGATGTGGCTCAGGCGGTAGCGCGCTCGCCTGGCATGCGAGCGGCCCGGGTTCGATCCTCAGCACCACATACCAACAAAGATGTTGTGCCCGCCAAAAAAAACTAAAAAGTAAATAAAATTCTMWMYCWMAAAAAAAAAAAAAAAAAAAAAACAAAGATGTTGTGTCCGCCGAAAACTAAAAAATAAATATTAAAAAAAAAAAAAAGAAATAAAAAAAATCACATTGTTTAAAAAAAAAAAAAAAGAACTGCTTCTGGGAGGGGTGGTACCTGCCTGTAATCCTATCAGCTCAGGAGGCTGAGGCAGGAGGATTGTTAGTTCAAAGCCAGTATCAACAACTTATCCAAGCCCTAAGCCACTCAGCAAGACCCTGTCTCTAAATAAAATATTAAAAAGGGCTGGGGATGTAGTCAGTGTTTAAGTACCTTGGGTTCAATTCCCAGTACCCAAAACAAAACAAAACAAAAAAACTGCTCTACTAAGGGCAATTATGTCTTTTGCTGCACATCAAACCAAAAGCCTTGTGCATGCTAGGCAAGCACTCTATGACTGAGCTAYATTCCCAGCCTAATGGCTTTTTATGTATGTATTTATTTATTTTTTACATGGGGATCTAACCCAGGGCCTCTTTCATACTAGGCAAGTGCTCTAGCACTGAAGTATACCCCCAGCAAGGGCAATTAAGGAAGAAGAGAAGTTTCACTTTGTATGTGTCAGTGTTACTTGAAATTTGTATGTGTTTGTTTTACAATTAAATTTTTAAACAGTTAGGGCCAGGGTATAACAGTGGTAGACTGCTTGCCTAGCATGCACAAGGCCCTTGGTTCCATCCCCAGCTCTTTGGGGATTGYGGGGGAGGAGTTGTAAGACCAGTAAAGGTGAGGTTTATACTATGTAGCAATACAAAACAGTCTTTTCTATATCCAGCTTTCTTTTTTCTTTCTTTCCTTTCTTTCTTTTCAGTTCTGGGGATTAAACTCAAAGATGCTCTTCAACTGACCTACATTCCCAACACTTTTTAATTTATTTAATTTCATTTATTAACTTATTTATGTGGTGCTGGGGATTGAACCCAGGGCTTTGTACATGCAAGGCAAGCACTCTACCAACTGAGCTTTCCCCACCCTTTTTAAAATATTTTTTTTTTAGTTGCAGATGGACACAGTACCTTTATTTTATTTATTTATGTGGTACTGAGGCTTGAACCCRGTGCTACTCACATGCTAGGCAAGTGTTCTGCCACTGAGCTACTCAACCCTATCCCCCCGCCCCGCCTTCCCTAAATTGCAGAGGCTGGCTTCAAACTTGTGATCTTTTCACCTCAGCTTAAGGTAGCTGGAATTACAGGTGCTACATTCACTTAATTTAAAAATAAATTCAAGATGTGATTGCCTGAGGCATGCCTGTAATCCCAGTGGCTTGGGAGGCTGAGGCAAGAGGATCACAAGTTCAAGGCAGCCTCAGCAATTTAGTGAGACCCTAAGYAATTTAGCAGGCCCTGTCTCAAAATAAAAATTAAAAGGGCTGGGGATGCAGCTCAGTGGTTAAGTGCCCTGGATTCAACCCCCATTACCAATAAATAAATAAATAAGTGAATAGATACATAAATAAGTGAATAAATAAATAAATAAGTGAATAAATAAAAAAATAGATAGATAGAAAGTATGTATATGACTATGAAAAATAGATATCTACACAGAGAATTGAAGGGATCATGAAAATTGACAATTTCTTTTAAATTTCCTTTAATGTTATCACAGTTGGTATACAATAAACACCAATGGGGGATTCCTTGGTATTACTGTTGATTTGTCTTATTTTAATTAGCAAGAGCACAAACATGTGCCYGACAAAGGCTTGGGGCTTCCTTCTCTTCTGTATCCCATCTCAGTCCTTAATCTCCACCCTCCTCAGAAACAGACTCTGATCCAGATATGCTCATCTGGGTAACTTAAGGAAAGGTCAAAGAAGACTGTGGCTCCAATCAGAAAATCTTATCCTSCAGAAACTTATTCTCAAATGCCCCTTAAGCTATGCAAAGTGCCAAAGTGGCAGTGTCTTTTTGTCCCCCCCCCACCCCTTCTGAGGATTGAACCCAGGGGTACTCTACCACTGAGCTACTTCCCCAGTCCCTTTTTTAATTTTGTAGTTTAAAACAGAGTCTTGTTAAATTGTCCAGGCCACCAAGCCCAAGAGCAGAACCCTTTGAGGGTGTATGGCAGGGGCTGACTTACTGAAGCCAAAGGGCAAATCCGGCCTGCTCACTGACATATATATATAAGACCCATAAGACCCATGAGCTAAGAATGGGTTTTACACTTTTTAATGGTTATATTTTAAATGACTAGATAAGTACCTACATAATATCCTCAATATTATACTTTTTTTGGGAGGGGGAGGTGCTGGGGMCTGAACCCAGGGCCTTGTGCATGTGAGACAAGCACTCTACCAACTGAGCTATGTCCCCAGTCCTCTCAATGTTATACTCTTAAACATGCAAAACCTGCTTACTAACTCTCTGACCCTCTCTACTTCTGTCTAGCTTTCAGGCAGGAACAAAGTGGCAAGCCCTGACCTTTAACTCTCAGTTCAGAGACCCCCAGCTGCGGCCCAGTTGTCTGGCGCCAGGCGGCAGCGGGCTGGCCCTTCTGGGAGCCAGCTGGCGCTCCAGGTGGGGCTGGGCTGCGCGGAAGTCCCCCAGACCCTCATCAGAGCGCCCCTGCGGCTTGGGCGGTGGCTGCGCGGCGCGGACAGCCCCAGCGCTCGCGGAGGCAGAAGTGCCAGATCAGGGCGACGCAGCTTAGCAGAGCCAGGGCTGTGCCCACCCCCACGGCCGCGTGGATTAGGGTGACCGGTCTGGGTGGCACGGTGAGCCGACCGCAGGGCCCGAAGGCCGGGAAGGACACCCCCTCGAGGTCCTCCCCACCTGCCTGGGACACGCGGCTCTCCCCGGCCTCATTACCAGCCACCACGCAAACCACATAAGCGCCCCCAGGCTTAAGTCCCTTCAGTTCTGCTCTGCGGACCGTAGTGTTGAGTAGGGGGCCCTTCTGCGGAGCCCCGCTGCCTTCCCAAAGCAGCAGCTGGTAGTGGTGGACCGGGGAGGAGGGGGCACACCAGTGGACCTCGGCGCGGCCCTCTTCGGCCACAATGCGCACTTCTCCTAGGCGTGGCGGGTCCGGAGGCCAGGCAGGGCTAGACAGCCCCGGGCACAGGCAGGCCACCGGCCTGGCCTTCTGCAACTCATTGCAGGGCACCTGCAGGTGGCGGCAACGGTCGTAGTCACAGGGGACAGCCAGGGAAGGTGTGCTCACCGTCTCATCTTCCTCCTCTTCCTCGAAGTCTTGAGGAGCCAAGGGCTGAGCTCTGGGAACCGACCAGGTCAGGGCTAGGAGCCACAGAAGGCAGAGAGAGCCTGGAAGAGCCATGGAGTCTGGAAGGGAAAGGGTGAATAGGTAAAGGCTGTCATCCGTGCCTTAGGGCCCCTGCCTGGATAGAACCCAAACACAACAGGGAATCCAGATGATAAAAGAGGTAAGAAGACCAGCTTCTCTTGACAAATGTTCCAAGTTACATGTTTGATTTTGGACAAAATGAAGCTCTGGTCTGATATATATCAAAGAAACACATGTGAGCAGCAACATTCGAAGTGCTAGAAAGTTAATGAATAAACAAAATGCTGGGAGGAGAAGGAGGGGAAAGGATTTACTCAGCCAAGAAAGGTGGTAGAATTCCCAGCTGCCACCCAGAGAAAAGATCTAAGTAAACCGAGGATCAGTCAGCAAGACATGCAAAAACCCAACAGGAAGACAGAAGTGAGAAAAGACAAAACCCTAGGAGGAAAGGAGGATCCTGGACTCTTCACTCCCCACCTGTTATCTGTGTGAATCCTGTCCAGGGAGTCCAGAACCCCACCTGATCGCTCTGGCCCACAGCAGCCCGCCACTAGCGGGGAGACCTTGAGGGAGTGGGAATCTGCAACCAGATGTCTGGGGCTATCAGGTTGAGGAGTCCTGAGGATAGTAGGCCGCGCTGCCTGCACTGTCAGGTTGTATCTTCAATTTTCTTTTGGCTGAAAGCTTTTGTACCCTTCAACTCTGATGTCACTACCTGGCCCCCTTCTCCACTCCCCTCCCCACTGAGTGCCAAGAAGAGGGCTGGTCCGCTCAGAGGGCCTGAGTCACGGGGCCAGGGTGGGGAAAGCCATGCACAGCAGTTTCAGCTGGAGCTCAGGATGCCTGGGTTCTGACAGAGGAGTGGAATGTGGAAAGTGGCCAGGAGCTGAGAATCCAAAGGCTGAAGTCATGTGAAGGGATGGGGAGGGAAATATTGGAGAGGGCCACCTGGCTGGTATAAGAGAGGAAAACAGCTGTGGACAGCATGGGGCCTGGGTTACAAAATGCTGTTTTGGTAAAAATCATACCACATGTGTGGCAGTCATTTCCTGTCTTCTGCCTCCCAATGGACAGAGATGGGAGGGGTGTAGGGGCCAGAATGATGTATTCTAGCTCTTCAGACCCGCCCTAAATTATCCCCCTTCCATGAGACAAGTCACATGGATGAAGCAGAAAGCCTGCTAGTGGCCAGGATAAATTTTCTCCTTGTACTTCTTAAGACTGTGGAAACAACTGTGCCTGAAACAGTCCAGGTCTGCAGGTCTTCCTGTGGGGCAGAGTTCCTTTAAGGGGCAGAGTTGAAGGTGCCTGGGGCATGCATGGCTGGCCTTTTTTCTTTGGGTAGTGGAGATTGAACTCAGGACATTTTATCACTGAGCTATATCCCTATCTTTTTTTTAATTTTAATTTTTTGGTACTGGGGATTGAACTCAGGGGCACTCAACCACTGAGCCACATCCTCAGCCCTATCTTGTATTTTATTTAGAGACAGGGTCTCTTAGGGCTGGGGATGCGGCTCAAGCGGTATCACGCTTGCCTGGCATGTGTGTGGCCTAGGTTCAATCCTCAGCCCCACATACAAAGATGTTGTGTACGCCAAAAATTAAAAAAAAAAAAAAAAATAGAGACAGGGTCTCAGTGAGTTGCTTAATGCTTCACCATTGCCGAGACTGGCTTTTAACTCATGATCCTCCTGTCTCAGCCTCCCAAGCCACTGGGATTACAGGTGTGCGCCACTGTGCCTGGCTTTATTTTTTGAACAGGGTCTCTGTAAGTTGCTGAGGCTGGCCTTGAACTTGTGATCCTTCTGCCTCAGAGTTAGAGTTGCTGATCTACAGGCTATGCCTCCATGCCTGGCTGGACACAGGGTTTCAAATAGGCCTAAATCTACTTCAAAGAGTMAGGAAGCAGCTGGCACAAAATAGTTTATTTAAGGGAACACAAGGGGAGATCCCAGGTGGGAAAGTGCTGGAATGTGAGGAATCTGTCCTCTTTTCTTTAGGAGCTGGAGCAGGTGGGGCGCTGTCTCAGAGCACCCATAGAGGGCTCAGAGCTGCCCAGAGTCTCTGGGGCAGACGCAGGGGCAGGGGCAGGGGCAGAAGCAGAGGCAGAGGCAGAAGCAGGTAGGTTGGCGTCAGTCAGCAGAGCAGCATCTTCCCAGGAGCCTGAACCTGGGCCAGGAAAAACCAAAAAAGGAAAAACCAAAAAATCTCAAATGCGATATTAAATTAACCCAGGGTCCTACTCCATCCAGCCCATGCATTCCAGTGTTGGGGACTGCAAAACAAGTCAAGATGGCGCCTGGCAGTTCAAACCACTCCAATAAGGAATCCCCACCAAGCTATTAGGATGGTGGGGATTCCTTATTGGCTGTCTGCTGTATCTAGATGATGCTAATTGAGTCAAGCTGTGTGCAATCAGTTAGGTATATATACCTCTGCTGTTCCGCAATAAAGCGGCTCCCACTACCTTGGGTGCCCGCCACTTTGAGTTCCCGCTCAGTTCCCGCTGAGTTTCCCTACAATAAAGCAGTTCCCGCTTCAACCTTCAAGTTGCTTGTCACTTCCTAGATATTTTGCCCAGCTAGACTACGGCATTCCAGGGTGCCCCTCACCATCACTGGCCTCCCGCTCCAGCTCCTCCTCTCCACTCAGGGGCTGCTGGTCTGGTTTCTCCTCCTCAGACAGCTGACCCTCTGTGGCCAAGAGTAGGGCTGAGTCAGACGCAGATGCTGAAGGACAGGGCTGAGATGTCAGGAAGGAGGGATTACTGCTGCACCATACCTGTCCCTGAGGGATCTTCAGGGCTCTCACCATCCTCTGTCACATCTGACAGTTGAGTTGACTCCTCCTGTCCTTCAGGCCCTGCTCCTCCAAAACAAGTAGAGGACAGGATGTGTAGGGTGGCTGTGCCTAGAGGGCAGTGCCTACTTCACCTCCTTCAGCCTTCTCTTCCACCCTTAGCTCAGCATGTGAGTGCCTTTATGCCTCACACTGGAGGCAGGCAGCTCTGCTTGCCTAACCCCYTCACCTCCCTAACAGCCCCTCAAACAACACCTTTACCAGGCTGATGGGTAGAGATCCTTCGTTGGCCTTCCTTCTGGGAAGTCTCTCTTTTTCGGATATTAACCTGTAGAAGAGAAAGGACTGAGCAGTGAGTACTGACTTTCCTCACCAGAGATGTCCCTGCCCACCCAAACAAACATCCTCAAAGAAAGAAAAAGGGGTCACTGCCCCTTGCAACCTGCAAAGAGAAGCGGTGTCGGGGCCAGATGCCCCCCCACACCCACTGCATGTAGCTGAAGAGCACAATGACGCTGAGGAAGGTAAAGTTGCTGGCAACACCTATGAAGGCGCAGGTCATCGGGAAGTTGTATAGCAGGTACCTGAGGCAGGAAATAGCAACAAGAGTTGAGCAGCCATTACCAAACAGCATCAACTTTCTAATTTCCCAAGCAACTCAACTGAGTTTGGTTAGAGCTAGCCTCTGCCTCCATGTTCCCTGCCCACCCCCTCCCAATTATCAGACCTTGCTGCATCAAGTACTAATAAAGACTAAGGACTCTGGGTAGTCTCAGCATTGCAGGGCCACAGGCAATGGCCTTGATTTTGGCCAATTCTGCTAAGCAAATGAATCAAGACAGTAGTATGTATGCATATTTTACCTTATTTTTGAAATGGGACTTTTACTATGTTGCTCAGGCTTACCTTGAACTTGTAATCTTCCTGTCTCAACCTCCCAAATAGCTGGGATTTAGGCATGCACCACAATGCCAGACTCATATAGGTATTTTTGACGTTTCCCTGGGAGCCAATATGCTAATGTGCAGCAAGGGCAAGAATCTCTGGCCTTTGAAAAACTCAAACCAATGCTGCTGTTAACCTTTTACCTTTACTTGGGATACTCTTCATTTAAGGACAGCATCCAGGAGAGCTGTCAAGGTCTATTTCAGTGATTCCTCACCTGAGCCCAGTGAAATGGGCATGGATGCGAAGGTAGGCTCCATACATCTGGATACGCTTGCTGTGGATCTCAATAATTGCTCCAGTTGTTGGCACGTACTAAGAGGGAGAGAGGGCAGCATCAAGCCAGGGTCTTGATCCTGTCACTCTTGATCCTACCAGCCCAATCTGAGGCCTGCTCTGAAACCAGAGGCTCCTGGAATACAATTCTGGGCTGACAAGAGGGTGGTCTCCTGGTCAGCCTTCACCTCACTCACCGAGTTCTCTCTATAGTCCGCATAGAGTTCCACCTCCAGGAGCTGCTTCTGCTCAGCAAAGCCAAACAGAAGGAGGCTAGAGAAGACCAGCGTGTCAAGCATCTGGAGCAGGTCTGAGCGGTAATGCAGCATCACCTGCCAGGGCCAGGAGGCAGAAATTGGGGTCAGGTATCCAGGTTCCCACAGCTTTCCCCTATCCCTGAGCGGCCCATGCAGGCTGCTCCTCCCTCAGGCTCCCTGCTCCTCACCTCCACTTCCTATTCCCCTGTGTCCACTAAACCATTCCACCTACTCAACCTCTGCCCATGACTGACCACATTTCTCCATTCCAGTACACCAAAGGCCCCTCCTCTAAGACACCTTTCCAGGTGAAGTGTAACATTGTCTCTGCCTTTCCCCAAAACAGTTCTGTCATCCAGGATGGGATCCAAACCCCAGCACATCATCTGCTTTCCCCCCAAGACAGACATTCATGATGAGGTTCTCCGGACAGTTCATGCAACAGTGAGATCCCAATGCTGATTAAACATCTACCATGTGAGAGTAAGAACTGCATTCACATTTCCTCCTACAGTCCTGATCGAGGCAGTTACTATGGTACCCATTTAATACTACTTTATGCCTCATGAGTTGTCTGATGTTCCGTGGCTGGCATGTTTCTGGTGAGGATCTATCCGCATGGCTCTAGATCTGTTTTCTGAGAGCTGCTCCACTCTTCACGTCTACTCCAAAGCTGGATGTGCTCATGATGTGCTAGGGAGTTTGGAAAATGTTTGTCTTGGTAAGCAGATTTCTCCTCCCTTATCCTGACGTGTCCTCTGACCTCAGTGCCAAGATTTTCTGCTGAAGCCCTACCCAGATATTCTGACTCTGCCATCATTCTTCACAACTTCCCAGACAGGCCATGAACACTTACCGAACGGGAAGAGGTGGAGATGATTCGGCCACCTCTGGTGTAGCATGAAACAGTGACCAAAAACATGCCCAAATCTTGATTCACAGGAGACTCTGGCAACTCAAGCTCTAAGGTGATGCGATATGGCTGTCCATACATCAGCACCTGCCCAAAGTAGCCCCCATTTCATTTCAAAAACTGTTTTTTTTTTTTTTTTTTTTTTAATTATACTGTCCAAGTTCTATCTTCCAAATATTCTGCCACCCCCTTGGTTAGCCCAAAGGCCTTCCAAAGGTTTGTCCAGAGAAGGTGCTGCCCCCTTCTGGTGGCTGGGTACCTCCACTTCCATATCCTATTGGTTCTTCTGAATCAGTCCCGAAAGGCTCTGTCATATTTCTTTCCCAAAAGTGAACGGTCATGTTGCCAACTGGGCCATCTGTGACTCAGGCCTGTGCACTGGTGAGGCTGTCCCTCTTGGGATCAGCTGCCCTCAATTGTTATTAATTAACCAAGAACCAGAAGTGCTCAGCCTCCCTAGTCAGCTCTCTCACAATCATTGTTAGCAGTAGCATCTTGATGTCATTCTGAGTCCCTAATCTTTTTTTTTTAATATACCTTTATTTATTTATTTAAAAATATTTTTCTAGTTGTTGATAGACTTTTATTTTATTTTATTTTATTTTTTTGTGGTGCTGGGGATTGAACCCAGGGTCTTGTGCATACTAGGCAAGCACTCTACCAACTGAGCTATATCCCCAGCCCTATTTTATTATTTTATATGCAGTGCTGAGAATCRAACCCAGTTCCTTATACATGCCAGGCAAGTGCGCTACCGCTGAGCCCCAGCCCCAGACCCTTATTTATTTATTTTTATGTGTACTGAGGATTGAACCCAGTGCCTCATCCATGCTGGGCAACAACTCTACCACTGAACAACACCCCCAGCCTCCCTTTATCTTTTTTTTTTTTTTCTTTTAGATAAGGTCTAAGTTGCCCAGAATGGCTCTAAACTCCTAAGTCAGGTGATCTTTCTATCTCAGCCTTCTAAGGAACCAGGATTATACACCTTAATCTGGGGTTTGAGTCCCTATCTTGGTCCTGCTGGTGGGTACCTACCATCACCCCTCACACAGGAGTTTTTCACTGGTCTAAACCTCAAAATGTTAAGGTTTTCCTAACCATTCCTATATTCTTATAATTGAMTCATGTATTTATTTTTTGGTGCTAGGGATTGAATCCAGGGCCTCATACATACTAAGTACATACTCTATGACTGAATTTCACCCCCAAGCTCCTCCAACCCCCCCCTAATGATTCTTGTCTAGCAGATGACCCCTCAGAGTGGTATATGAGAAATCAGAGCTAGCCAGGCATAGTGGTRCACACACGTAATTCCAGCAACTTAAGAAGTTGAAGCAGGAGGATCGCAAGTTCAAGGCCAGCCTCAGCAACTTAGTGAGGCCCTTAGGTAATTTAGTGAGACCTTGTCCAAAATAAAAAAAATAAAAATAAAAATAGCTGGGGATGTTTCTTAGTGGTTAAGTACCCCTGGGTTCAATCTACAGTACTAAAAAGGAGAAAGGGTGTAGGCTAAGTTGCTGAGGCTGGTCTTGAACTCATATCTTCCTACCTCAGTCTGTGGAGTTGCTGAGATTATAGGCATGCACCACCATGCCCAGCCTTCAAGATCCTTTTTAAGTTCAGGGATTCTATCCTTTATTAGAACTTCCATCAGCTTGCTTAGTCTTTGTATGCATTTATCAGAATTCTCAGGTTTTATTTTACTTTTTAAGACATAGATGGACCTTTATTTCATTCATTTATTTATTGAGAATCAAACCCAGTGCCCCACACATGCTAGGCAAGTGTTCTACCACTGAGCCACAATCCCAGCCCAGAATTCTCAGTTTGCTTAAATCACAATGGCATGTGGCCAGTCCTCTGGCACAATACCCTTTGAAATAACAGGTCACATACTTATCAACTATTTCATAATTTTATATACAAGCCTTTAAAACTCTTGGATGGATGCCATTCTATTCTAATGAAACAGCTGATTTATTCACCTAAATCCAAAACACACTACTGACATTATCTAACAGATATGACCTGTCTGAAACAAGTCATRTCTCACCTGTTGAGAATGAGAATATTCCTAATGTCTGCTGCAGAAAGATCAAAACACACTATTCATTTAGATTCTAATTTCTCTTCAACTTCTGTTTCCTTCCTCTTTTTTATATTTATTTTTTTAGTTGCAGTTGGACACAATTCCTTTATTTTATTCATTTATTTTTATGTGGTGCTGAGGATTGAACCCAGGGTCTCGCACATGCGAGGCAAGTGCTCTACCGCTAAGCCACAACCCCAGCCCCRCTTTCCTTCCTCTTGTCTCTTACTCAATCCCTGTTCTCCCCATCTTAAGCCCTACTATCTCAAATCATCAAAACTCTAATTAACTTCCCTGTATCTTCCATACTCACCCGATCACGTCCACTTTTAGCCAGTGAGACATTGGCAACAGGAAAGGAGCAGAGTGAGGTGGTAGAGGAATCACAATCGGTCCTAATGAGAAGGGGGAATGATACTCTGCTAAGTTAGAGTCCACTTTACTTATATCTGCAATTCTTTTGGGTTCCTAGGGTTCCTTTCTCTCCACAATCCTTTTTGATAGGTGAACAAATGTGACYAGTAGATTCAAGATACTAGAATGAATTTTTTTTCAGACTTCCCCCCAATTCTCTTCCTGCTACTTCAGTTTATTGCCTCTCATGGGAACCTACAGATATGGTGTTTCTAAAGACTCCTTTGAAGAACTTAATAAAATATAGATTCCAGGGTCCTAACCCAGAGATTCTGATTCAGTAGTTATAGTCTGGTCCCTATTTTGAGAAAACTCCCCAAAATGGTCTATAGATGACTTTTAAAGTCATTAAACTGATCAAATTGTAGGGAAAACTCTATATGGTATGTAGGTATGCAACATACACCTGGRCATGTACATACACTATTATGGCAGGAAAGATCATAGGTTTCTTAGGATCTATGTCCCCTAAAAGTTTAAGATCTACCTTAGAAATTTCAGTGCATGACTAGGGATTCAGGACAGGGGAAAAAAAAGATATTGGACCACTGATAATAATGTCCCCTTCAGCTGATTGGTCCTATACCCATTCTTAGGAATAAGAGAAAGAATCTGGCAGTGTAGGAAATGGGAAAGAATAAGGGGCCAGGCAAGTAGTAGGACTCTGGGAGTCAAGTTTTTGTACCCAGTCCACCTTGTATTTCCACAATCTATTGTGCAGCAGACTATTTGGGATAGGAGGCAGTAAAGTAAAAGGCAAAGGAGATATTTCCTAATACTTCTTCTGCTGAAAGCCAAGTGAGTTTTGAGATGCCCAAGGGGTTGGATTGGTTCAAACTTCTACAGTGGCTCTGAGAGAGGTTTGATAGAACCTAAACAGAACTGACCCTTATTTTTTTAACCAGAAATAAGCGACCACAGGTAGAACTAGCACCCTAAAATCCTACCATCCCAGACCTGATCCCGCCTTGGGTTGTGGTAGGTGAGAAGTTCTGTTAGCACAACAGGCTCAAGTTTCCTCTTCTGTAAATGAGGGGACTGAAATGAATAAGCTCCAAGAGTCCTTGCAGCAATTTTCACACAGAATTCCTCCATTCTGACAGAAGACCCCTCTCACCTGTAGTAGAAATGCACAGGGCTGAGGTGGCTGACTGTTGGCATGTAGGAATAGTAGAAGGAGCCATAGAGAAAGACAGACACCCAGAGCAGGAGGAGGATGGTGCAGAAGAGTACCCCAAACTGCAGCAGCAGCCTGCGGGCACGGCCTGCCAAGACATGGCCCACTTCCTGGGCCCACAATAAGGCAGGTAATGGTGGATCATTGACCATGGCAGGGAGAGCAGGGGGTCTAGCCCCCGATTCAGGTCTTGCGTTCTTAGCTGCTCTGCCACCTGGACGCCACCCCTGGCCATGGGATGAGGCAGCTGGCGGTTCCTGGAAAAAAGAAAATGAAAAAAGAATGATTTCTTCCCGTAAGCAGGTGGGGACAAAAAAGACAAGTTAACTAGACTGGGGAAACCAGAGATAGCAGGGTAAAGCAAAGTCATTTTTTTCATATGGCCTTTCTCCAAGTGTTTAGGCTTCCCGGCCAATTATTCCTTCCTTTCYCTTGTCTTCCTTTCCCTTTAATACCTTTGCCCCAGTGTCAGTGCTTCTCAGTTGAACTCTTCCCTCAGAAGCATCTGATTTTGATGCTTGATACTCATTCTTAGCTAGCAATACATAACACAGAGAATGAGCATCTTAACATTCTCTCAAAGCAATTTTATGCCAGGCCCACGGTGCCTGCCTATAATYCCATGCTGGAGGTTGAAGTCAGCAATTCACAGAGATCCTATCTCAAACAAACAAGGGCTGGGGTGTAGCTTAGTGGTAGAGTGACCCTGGGTTCAATCATCTCTTTAACCCACACGATGACACCAATCCACAGTGCCAGGTGGTTGCACGGAGAGGATGCACGACTTGCCTATGGTCGCACAGCAGGACTCAAAGCCAGCAGCCTAAGAGCAGTCACAATTGCCTCCCGAGCTTCTCTCCACCTCCAGCTGCGCTAGCTTCGGATAGGTGCTCCGCACGCCCGGCAGGGCGTCTTGCAGCCAACGGCTGCTCCCCGCCAGTCCCCTCGGGCCCGGTGGTGGGMGCGGCGCGGGAGCCCCCACCTAACTGCGCCACCGTGGAAACCAGCCGGCCCGCCGCCACAGCACTGCAGACTCACCAGCCTCGCGCGCTGCCGGGGCAACGGCGAGAAGGGATTTCCGGCTGTCGGAGAAGTCCCGCCCCTTTCTGCCGTCAGCCATTGCAGTCTGGAGGCGGGGCCTCGTCAGGGGCGTGACCTGACAAGGGGCGGGGGCCCTGTCTCTTCCGGCTCCCCCGGTCTCTCTGCAGCCSTACACCCTGGACCACAGGGGCAAGATGCCTCCCTCCAGGCTCCGAGAGATATGCCCCAGGGCATGTTCTGACTCAGCAGAGTCCCCTCAGCCTTCTGCTGGGGCACGGCCCTTTGCCCATACCCTTCACCACAGGCCACTTAACTCCCGAAGCGGGGGACGGRGGTGGGGTGGGGACGCCGGCAACGATTTTTTATCCCTCAAGGCTCTTAGAAACTGTACATGTCCAAGGCGGGGAGTATTCCTTCAGGTGATGTTGTATTCTGCGGGAACCCGTCCATCCCGGGTGTTGCGCAGGTGGCCGGCCTGCTGTCCGCTATTTACAAGCGTGTCAATATTGCAGTCTCGCCATTGGTCTCCAGCTCTTAGTGAGTGATCAGCCTCCTCTGACCCTAAGTGGACGCACTCTCCCTAAAAYATTAGTTTAGGTCTTGGCAGATGGCGTCTTATATTTTGTATCTATCTAATTACCCCACTTAAGTTCCTTCACTTTGCAAAATCAAATGTGCGTACATCTTTGCATAATGCTGCAGGCGTGGGAGTACCTATTCAAAATATCTGAAAATTTTCCAAATCAATACACCTTCCCTCGCTATTTGCTACCCTCCCCCCTCCCCCAAGCCCACCTATTTCCAAAATATTTCCACTGACTCCCAAACAAGGCCCCTTACCTCCTCTTTGTCCGATCCTTTGATCTGGTCTCCGCACACCTCTTTGCCCCCAGCTTCTCCTTCTCTTTGATCTGCCATTTCTTTAGACATCTTCCTGTCCCTGGATCTCAAAAATCACTTGTGGCTAGACTGTAGTGATCTAGAAGCTGATCACCTGTAGCGCGTCACATTTTCCTGGGTATGGGGAATGGAGGGTTCCTGGGAGGAAAACGAAGATTCAGGTGCTAAGTGCTGTGTCAGGGTAGAGAGGAAGGGAGGAGGGGGCCCGACTGCCCAGCTGATGTCAGATTTTCAAATGAGCAGGGTCCCCCACAGCCAGTAAAGACTCCACTGCAGGGGCTGTCACAGGCCTAGACCACCCCATTTGAGGGGGGAGTCTGCTTCGGCCTCAGCTCCTTTGGAGAGGGCTTTAGTCCAGGCTTGGGATGCCTGCAGTGGGGGAGGGGCAGGTAGTGAGACAGTAATAGTGGGGGTGTGCTCAGGGGATGCAAGTGGCAGCCAGGCTCCCCCACTGGCCAGGCAGTTGGTATGCTCCAGGATTTGAGCAGCTCCTTCTAGCATCCTTCATCCTTCAGGTATCAGGCATCTAGGCACTGCTTGAGCTGCAGAAATTGAGAGACCACCCCTTCACGGACCTCAGGCCTGACCCTTTCCCAGTAGCCTTTTTTGTATTATCTGCTTCTGCATCAGATATTTTCAGCAGCAACTCCCTGCAGGGTGGGGTACCCCCCCCATCTGAGGCAGTTTTTGGTGCCCCCCTCCCCCACTGACCTTACACTCCAGGGCTGAGGCTGCTGCTGCCGCCTGTCACTTCAGGTGAGTAGGGAGCAGCTTGTTTTTTATCCCATTGGGATTCAAGGAGGGTAGGTGGGGGTGATATGCCCTCCTCATCAGGGTGGGGCTCTTTTTGGTTTGGTTGAGGGTTTTAGAACTGGGAACACACCTGGCTTGAAGGACTGAAAAAACCTTGGATCATTTGCATGTTTGATGACCTGGGGTCCAGGCCATGTGGCCCACCGTCTCCTATTTTTCCACTGAGGAAAACAGGGATGGGACAGGCAACCAGAGGGGGTTGGGAAAAGAGGGAAACAAAATATTGGGGCATGATCCACCCTTGTAAAGGTTGGTGAGGAGTAAGCACAGAAGGGGCCTTTTAGCTGAGACAGCTCTGAACTGTCACTCTCTTTTCTCCAGGATGAAAGGGGAGACTCCCGTGAACAGCACCATGAGTATTGGGCAAGCCCGCAAGATGGTGGAACAGCTAAAGATTGAGGCCAGCCTGTGCCGGATAAAGGTGGGTGGGACCCTGGCCAGGCCTTACTGTGCAGTAGGTTTCCAAACCTCCAGATAAGAGATGCTTCTTTCCTCGACTTCCTGAGGTTAGGGGAGGAGGCTGGGGCTCTGCTAGGAGAGCTAACCCCAGGTTTCTGTGGGGATGAGGGAGAAGACAGTCTCAAGGAGCCCTATCCATGGTAAAAGATACCCCCTTTGGAAAGAGGCTGTAGTCCCTTTCAAGGGTTCTGGCTAACTTCCCTTCTTAYGGCTGTGCCCCAGGTGTCCAAGGCAGCAGCAGACCTGATGACTTACTGTGATGCCCACGCTTGTGAGGATCCCCTCATCACTCCTGTGCCCACTTCGGAGAACCCCTTCAGAGAAAAGAAGTTCTTCTGTGCCCTCCTCTGAGCTACTTAGTTCCCACTCTCCTCACCTTTCCCTCTCTGTCCTTCCTTAGGTCGGTAACTGTGGAGACCTTCAGAGGCTCCCCGCAGCCCATTCCTACCCTTGCCCCGCCCTGTGAGGTTATCTGAAGCACAAGACCCTGCTCACCCACATCGACCCCTCTCCTCGCCCTCTGCGGCCAACCCCAAGCAACCCGTGACTAGGGCACTCTTAACTCTACAATCAGAGAGGTTTCTGCCAAACTGCCAGCGTCCTGTCCACGTCCCTCTGTGACCCGTTCGGACAATGGAGAGAGGGACGCGCCAGGTGCCTGCTCTCAGTCACACCGGGAGCTACTGGAAGGTTAAAGCCATTTAAAGAATAAATTCATCCAGAACCTCAGAGGGCAGCTCCTGTGTTAGCATTCTTGGGGTAGAGGATCCTAGACAACAGATTTGCCATACCCCGGAAACAGGGCCAAAGAAGGTTAGACGTTGTCAAGGATGGGAGCTCAGCGGGCCAGGGTGGCGGCGCATCGCCACTGGGAGAGGTGTTACAGCGGACACTCAGAAGCTGCGGGGATCGTACACACACCCACACGCGCGCGCGCACAGAAGGCAAGTAAGCACGAAACAGACTGAACAGGGTAGGTTTAGGGGGCTACGGGAAGGTAGTTGCTGGTCGACCGACCCTTAGGAGCGGAGGGGCGGGGCGCGCGGGGCGGAGCAGACCGGGCACCGCACCAGGKGCCGCTTCGTGCTAAGATGGCTGCGCCCGCTGTGTCGTGCAAGATGGCTGCCGCCTGGCCGCGCCAACATGGCGGCCTCCACACCGGGCGGCCCGCCGTACGGGATGCTCTCAAAATGGCGGTGCCCGGAACATCGGGCGCTCCCAATATGGACCCTTCTGTGTTCGTCGATCTCAAAATGGCTGCTCCTACTCTTACGAATTCGGTGTCTGCACCCCGCAGTTTTGAACCAGACCACCGCCCCGTGGTGTCCAAGGCACATGGGCAGCCATAAGGATGGATCATGGGACAAAAGGGCTCCAGTTAGCACAGCGTGGCCGGCGCTGGTCGCGTGGATTTTAGGGGGAAAATGAAGGTTTCTGTATCTCGCCAAGTAGACTCCCTTTGAGGCGGCAATGCAAAATAGGGGTCTCTTCCTGGCACCATCTTTTTGGCGCAGGCCTGTAATCCCCGCGAGTAAAGAAGCTGATGCAGGGGGATGKCAAGTTCAGGCCAGTCTCAGCAACTCAGCAAAGCCCTAATTAATGTAATACGATGCTGTCTCAAGATAAAAAAATAAAAATGGTCAGGGATGTGGCTCAGCAGTTAAGTGCCCGGGGTTCAATCTCTGATTCCAAACAAGGCAAAACAAAAAAACATCTGTAACTTTGTTTTTTTGTGGTGCTAGGGATCGAACTCAGGGCCTAGAGCATGCAAGGGTACTCTACCAACTGAGCTATATCCCCAGCCCAGCATCCCAATATCTCATTAACTTAAGGGACACATTCTTCCTGGGTAAAGCCTGTTTTGTGCCTGGACGTGCTTGGAGTATAGAGAGGCTGACCTGCTGTAGTAGTAAGGTGACTTGTATTCAGATATAACCTTTCACCCCAGGTTCCCTTCCCCTTCTCACAGGAAATCAACAAGGGGAGAGGAAGAGAGGAAACCAAAGGAATAAAGAGTATTTTATCAGCAATTCCTAAAGATGACCTCATGGGCTCCAAGGGTAGCCTTGAAACAGCAGCATTTCACTGTTGATGGAATTTCTGAGCTCTAACAGATTCTGGAGGCCATCTAATTAATTCCCTCACCCTGTAGACTAAGAAACAGAAAATAACCTGGTTGCACTCCAAACACCATTTGTTCAGAAAATCTGCTTAGTTCCTTCTGTTACTTGTGAAAACTACAGGAAGGCTCAGGTCTGTCATAATTCCTGCATGCTGACAATGCCTGGCACATAACAGTACAATCCATTCATTGAGTGGCTGCTAAGTGACAAGCAGAGCATAGAGAATAAGAACCCTTCCCTTTTCCTGCTGCATCACAGTGCTGGGCAAATTCCAGGAGAGTAACTGAAAATTTCCACACCAGCTCAGCCTTGGTAAAAAGCCAAATGTGCTCAATAAATGTAACCTTGACATTAGGTTAAAAAAAAAATCACCCTGGTTGGGGGAAAATAGCGCTAGGCAGTTACTATAGACAGGCACAAATTATAAATAACCATTAAAAACAACACATTAGGGCTAGGGAAAYAGCTCAGTGGTATCACACTTATCTAGAGATGGGTTCAAACCCTAGCACCTGGGTGGGGTGATAATTAATTTAGCTCTAACAATAAATGCCCAGGGAATAGGCAGTGATCAAAATCAAGAATGACATTTAGGGTACAGGTTTTTTTTTTTTTAAGTTGTAAACAGACATACCTTTATTTATTTTTTTAATGTGGTGCTGAGGATTATTTATTTTTTTAATGCTGAGGATGGAACCCAGTGCCTCACACATGCAAAGCAAGCGCTCTACCACTGAGCTACAACCCTAGTCCCTAGGGTACAAAGTTTTAAGACCCTGAAATCTGAATGTGTTACCTACAGAAGCGGGGGTTTGTTAAAACAGTGTCTACATTAATACCACTCAGACATGGTATATACTAAGAGCCTATGATCTGTCAGCCTTAATGATGAACAACCCCACCATTAGAAATTGCAGTTACAGGGCTGGGAGTTTGGCTCAGTTGTAGAGTGCTGGCCTAGCCCTGGGTTCCATCCTCAGTACCGCCAAAAAAAAAAAAAAAAAAAAAAAAAAAAAAAAAAAAAAAAAAAAAATATATATATATATATATATATATATATAATCAGTTCAGTGCTAGCAACAAAATAAGAGTGCTTTAATTTACCTTCTTAGTTTTCAAATTCACTATAAAGCACCCCCAAACATTTGTTGAATGAGTAGGCTTTTCTTCCAGTCATCACTCATAAATACTTATTTCCTTTCATATATGGACCCTTACATTTAACCCCAAATATCCAATGATTTTATCACAGTCCAAGTATACAGAGGTGAAGTTAAAATTTATATTCTTCTACTCTAATGGCTCAAGCTCTTAGCATAATCAAGAGCTAAGAATCCTGGCCCCCTCACCACCAATGCACAGCTGGCTCCCATGTGAAGCATGGTAGAAAAGGAAGGCAACAGCAGCCATGCAAGGGAAAGCCATCCTTGGTTGRACCCAGTGCAACTTGAGAAATAAGCTTTAAAAAACATAAACGAGTAAACACAACCCAGTCAGTGCAGCCACAGGAGAAAGGGTGAATTCAATCCAAATGGTTATTTATTCTAAAACTGGAAGCTACTGTGCCTACATTTTTGCCAGAATGTTGTAATGAGAACAGGGGAGGAAAAAGTTACAGATGTAAACAATGACACAGTTACATTTTTTTTTTTTTAAATGGTAAAACCCTTTTTTACTGGCCACTTCCAAGAATGCTTTACAGGTTGTGCAAAAACATTTACAGGCTCCATGTGGTGTTTTGTTTTTCTCACAAGTTTTTCCATCTACAACTACAACAAACATCTGATAAAACACTAAAAAGTCTTCTAAGGAAAACAAGGCTAGGGATCCCTCCTGTTACCATAATCCACATTTCCCCCCCTTTAACATTTGTTTTTTCATAATAGACAGACAGAAACAAAATCCAGACATCCACTGTTTGAGTGATCTCTTGGACTGATCCAACAAGGATGTGGCAGTTTCATTCTCTACCCACCTAGAAAAACAGCTTTTTWAAAAAAAGATGACTTTCTAGTGTCAAAAATCAATGGCAAGTACTTCCCTTGTCACCACCCAGAACAAAACCCTCAGCATGGTTTAAGCTTTGTTCCCCTTTCCTGAGGACCACTATCCATGTCACCGACTGTAAGAAAATACTATATGCTGGAGGACTGAGTACTTAAGGGGGTGAGGGGCAGCCTCTATCTCAGGAAATTCAGTTTTCTACTTTAACATAATCTTGCCCTAAGGGAATTTCTTTGGGCTCCAGTTTTTACCTCCTTGCCTGATACTATGAGCAAAGCTTTCTTAAAAGTCCTTAATAATAAAAAGTGGGTTATAGAAAAGTTCATGCAATCACTTCACCCACCACCACATACAAATCCATTTGATGGCACCTCAAGGAAGCAGGTGCCAAGAGAAAAGACATCATTATGAGCAAGCAAACTTATTTCCTACCAGACCCCTGTTCCAGTCTCGGGTACAGAGGTGCTTAAGCRGAAGGATGTGTCGGGACAGACAGGGAGGACTAGAAGGCCAGAATGAAGGTCTGCACACCTAGAGAAGGGCTCTGCCTGGCAGGGACAGTGGGAGAAGAGAGATCAAATCTCAGCACAAAAGTTTAAACAAGAGAACTGCCAGGTAAGGAAGTGGAAGTGAAGCATTTTCTAGTAGCACAACCCGGGGTTTTCTCACTAGGGAGTGCTGCAATACATGGTGTTTGCTGAGTAAGCTCTTGGCTGACACAATGCTGAGCAGGAAGATGAATTGAAACTGAAGCTGAATTGAAAGCATTTCCATATCCCACCCATATTCTTGAACCCAGCAACCTGCAGCTATTTTGTCAAGAACTGGGAAGGTGTTGGTAAAGTTAAACTAAATGATCCCAASTGAAGTCTCCTGGCTAGAGGCCTCTCTGGGGACACACAGGGAAAGCTACCCCAGAAAGAATCCTGTTTCAGGAAGTTGAGTAGGGTGCTCCCTTTCACACACACATATGCACACACATTCACACTCACTCTGCCCAAGTTTCAGCAGCCCCACTGAGCTGCCTCCCACCCCCCACCCCCCTTTTCTATTCATTCTCTACCTGTGTATCAAAAAGACCAGCAGGGCAGAGCCCCCCCATACTGTATAAAATAATTGCTATTCTCAGCACCTGGGCCTGGGAGCCCACACCACAGGATTCACCTATATACATATCCTGCTGCAGTGAACAGAGTCCTCCTGCATTACTGTGAGCTGAAACCCTGAGAAACGTTCCTTCTCTCACACTATAAGAGGCAGACACTGTAACAGATGATTTTAGAGACCTCCTACCTCTCTCAACCTCGGAAGACAGAGACTAGAGACTGGCAAATCACAATCTTCAGGCTGAGGGCTGTGACCCCACTCTCCCCAAAACATTATGGGAATTCATTAATGGGTACATATAGGGAACAAGCTATTCTGCTCTGCAATCTAGAACAGATCCCGTGCCTCCTTGGCCTGGGAATCCTATATAATAGAACCACCCAACTAGAAGTCTCTGTGCCTTAGCCAAGCAGGACAAAGGCACAGCAAAGTGGACACTGGGATACTGTGGCCTCCCAGCCCACCAGACCAGATATCCCAAGAGGGAGAGGTCGGTAAAGAAAATACAAACGGTTAGTTGGTGCAAGTGATTGATAAGAGCCAATCGTTTATTTTCACTGCCCYGGTCACAAGCGCTCCCTCTGGCCCACTCCTGCCTGCTCCTACCTGCTATGGAAGGTACTCTCACACTGTTCCCCTTCTCCCCACACCACGACACCACTGTCCCTTTCTTGGCTGCCAGTCCAGCTGCCTTAGAATGTCAGAAGGGTGACATTTTTAGTTCTTTTCCTGTCCAACTGCAGGGTATAGAACAGGCAGCTCTAAGTGCTGCTTTCTGCGCAAATGTTTTTGATTACAAATATCTAACTAGGTTTGAAATGTTTTAT